CCTTAGGGATCAACAATGTGCTCCCTAAGGATCACCAACCAGCCCCCTCACCCTTAGGGATTAACAATGTGCTCCCTAAGGATCACCAACCAGCCCCCTCACCCTCAGGGATCAACAACCTGCTCCCTAAGGATCTCCAACCAGCCCCCTCTTCCCTAAGGATCTCCAACAAGCTCCCTCATCCCCAGGGATCACCAACCATCCCCCTGCTCCCCAGGGTTCACCAACCAGTCCCATCCTCCCCTGGGATCACCAACCAGCCCCTTCCTCCCCAGGGATCCCCACCCAGCCCCCTCATCGCCAGGGATCCCCAACCAGCCCCTTCCTCCCCAGGGATCACCGACAAGTCCTCCCTTCCCTGCTCCCCAGGGATCCCCAACCACCCCACTGCTCCCCAGGGATCCCCAACCATCCTGCTGCTCCCCAGGGATCCCCGCCGCCCCCCGAAGCTGCGGTGCCCCATCCCCTCACCCAGCGGGTCGGTGGGGGTTCCCTTGAAGATGATCCTGTAGGTGGTGAGGAAGATGGCTCCCTCGGCGGGGAGCAGGGGTGGCCCCCCGACGCTGCCCCCGGCAGCCTCCTCGCGCCCGTCGGGCATGAGGCACACGCGCAGCCCCTCCATCACACACTCCTCGCCCACCAGCAGGTTGGGCCGCAGCAGCTTCGGCTGGAGGGGGGGGGACACAATGGGGAGTTCAGCCCCCCGAGGAGCACGGGAGGGGGGTCTCCACAGCCCCCCCCATGGCTCCAGCCCCATCCCAGCGGGACCCCCCGTACCTTCTGGATGGGGGGAAGCCTCTTGCTCTCCCTGTGCACGGCGTCCAGGGTCTCGATGTGCATCTGCACGATGTCTGCGACACGCGGGGGGTGTGAGGCCGGGGCAGAGCCCTGCCCTGCCCACCCCGTGCCCTGTCCTGCCCCTCATGGGACCCCCGTGCCCACCCCCGGCGTCCCCACCTGGGATCATGACGTGCAGCCCCTTGAGGTGCTCGTTGGTGACGCCGCTCTCGGTGCACACCTTGTCCACGAAGCGGTTGATGAACCTCACCACGTAGTTGGCCACGTCGGAGCTCTCGGCGTCCTCGAAGCCGCTCTCGGTGTCGTAGCTCTCGGCCACGCTCCCGGCAATGCTGCCCGGGGAGCAGGGGAAGGGTCAGCCTGGAACGGCCCTGCCCGGCTGCAACCCCGGGCCGGGAGCAGCCCCACGGAGGCTCCACTCCTGGTGGGATCCCAGAAGAGATCCCACTCCTCGTAGGAATGCGGGAGAGCTCCGGGAGAGCTCCCACTCCTGATACAGACCCAGGAGAGCTCCCAGTCCTGATAGGAACACAGGAAAGCTCCCACTCCTGACATGGACCCAGAAGAGCTCCCACTCCAGACAGGAACACAGGAGAGCTACCACTCATATGGATCCAGGAGACCTCCCACTCCTCATATGGATCCAGGAGAGCTCCCACTCCAGACAGGAACACAGGAGAGCTACCACTCATATGGATCCAGGAGACCTCCCACTCCTCATATGGATCCAGGAGTGCTCCCACTCCAGACAGGAACACAGGAGAGCTCCCACTCCTCATATGGATCCAGGAGAGCTCCCACTCCTCATATGGATCTAGGAAAACTCCCACTCCTCACATGGATCTAGGAAAACTCCCACTCCCAGTATGGATCTAGGAAAACTCCCACTCCTGGTATGGATCTAGAAAAACTCCCACTCCTGACAGGAACACAGGAGAGCTCCCACTACCAGAAACCCGCTGGGCACCACAGCCTGCCACAATCCTGACAGAATCCTGTCAGGGATCCCACATGGCTGGGGTTGGAAGGGACCTTTGAAGCCCATCTGGTCCAACCTCCCTGCGACGAGCAGGGACATCTCCCATGTCCTGCCGGCAGTGACTGACCGGGACACCCCAGGAGCTGCCATCCCCAGGAGCTGCCATCCCCAGGAGCTGCCA